AGTGAAGCGTTATTTGTTTACTCGGCATTGTTGTGTTGTACTCGGCATTGTTGTGTTCCACAACAATGCCGAGTTTGCTTATAGTTGACATTGTTGATGACGTAATTTATTGACGACAACGACTAATCACAAATTTTTATAAGGAGAAAACCCAAATTCACTTCCTTCTCACAGCAACAATTACCAGTTCCACATATTCTAATTTGCCGTGAAAACAAATACCAACAGCAAATACAAAAATTACCACTGATGACTATATTTTAAAGAATTAACTTATATTACAATGAAAGCTATTAATCAAAAGCAGAATATGGATGAAAAAACTGAATAAAAACTATTATTAGAAGATAGAATGTGAGTCAATCTAAAAGAGAAAATAATCTTCATAAATATAACCTGTTGGCAACTATGAATATCAACACGACTGACTAAAATGTATTAAAAGCCCAATTTTAAGCCTATTTGTTTTTATGAAGGAAAGAAACAAGGCTTATGAAATCACCAGCTTCTTAAGTGTCTTACACTTTCAACTTCTGAACCAACTGGCTGATTTTTGTAAAACTTGGTAGGATCAGTATGTAATGTATTTTAATTTCTTACAATCCATAATACCAAGATACTGGACACAAAAACTTAACAAAACACAATGTAGATGTTACATATTCCATTCCAGGTAAGTTTTGCCAGCAACAGATACTAAGCAACTTTTTTCAAACATCAAGACTCTTAATATGAAGTACACATCCCCATTTTTGTACTATTGACAGAAACGCACGTACACATACAAGATTTTATGGGGGAGGGGGGAATAAAATATAAAAATCCCATACAACAAACACAACTTACCTATTTTATTAGATTTGATGTCATATGATGAGTACTGAGAAGGCAGTTTTTTCTGAGCATCGAACAATTTCCAGTCTGTTCCATCTGGTTTAATGCAATGGAACACATCAGGTATATTAGACGCCATCTGAATCACACTTACAAAACCGAGGCTGACATAATCTAACACGACCCTGAACTCTTCCTGTAATATTCAGCAACAATACAACATTAACAAAATAACTCTGAAAGGATACAATTTTATTAAAACATGCACAAGCAAGATTTTAGACTGATTATCTGGGTAATGAAGCCATGTAAATCTTGTAGGTGGTACCTCATATTTCTGTCCTGAAACATTTATCACCACCTAGAACACCTACAGAGGTTTACTAGGTACAGTCAAAATGATCCAACAACTGTTCTTCCTGGGATCTTTCTCAGAACAAGCCAAGGTTTAAACCTTTGGTCCAAGCTTAGGTTACAAGAACATTTGCACCACAAGTCTGATCTTACAGGGAGTATAGCTGGTAGAGGGAGGGCCTGCAGTAAACCAAATTGGAACCCTAAGGTAAATCCCCATCCTGGGTGGCCAGCTAAAAAGGGCAGAAGTGCATGGGAGAAACCATGAGTCCCAATGGAGCAGATTGGGAATTCACAAGGTCTGGAAGAAGAAAAGGGAGGGCTGCTATCACCAAAGATGTTCATGTAACAGCCACCATTACAAGTCATGGTCATTATATATGGTTAAGAGCTTGGTGATAAATAAGTGAAAACCACTAATACAGTTACAGTACAGTTTACCTTATATAAATGTGGAAGTTCTGAACACCAAATACCACCAGGATACTTGTCCAACAAAAGCCGCAAGTTTAGTTTCATCCGCTCACTTATGATATCACTGGTACAAGCACTGTTGTAAGTACATATATCAGGTATTGGTGATTTGCTGTTAAGAATCACATTTATACCTGAAATAAAAGAAAAAATATTAACATGATAGAAATGGAAACGTGTTGCACAATTTGCAGACACACAACAAACAAACAATCCATCAGGCTTCATCAGTTTTCAACAGTTCAAACAGGCAGTTATAAAAGCATTTCAGAATCACATAGTTCACTTTTATTCATCCCACAGAATCACAGACACTGGAGAACTTGAGTGAAAGGATGCTGCATATAACAGAGAAACTGACAGTGTCATATTACTGATCTGGATGCAAAAAATGGGAGTACAATATTAAATCAAATCTTAACGAAATGAAATGCGAGAATGTGGACTGGATTTGTATGACTTAGGTCAGGACTCTGTGGCAGCCTATTATAAAAATAGTGATACAATTTCAACTTCCATAAACATCACAAAATTTTGTGACTACTAAGGTGACTATTGCATTTTCAAGAATTCTTTTCCATGGTATTAGAAGGAAAACAAAAATTTGGAATCCTTATATTTAACTAGTATAACTACTGGTTAAACTGGAATTTTCTTTAAAACTATCAAAAAATAAAACTACTCATTTTCATATATCATAAGCCATTTAATCCTAACAGCTACAAGTACTTTAGCTTAATTTTCTGTGCAGCTATAATAAACGTCAACACCTAGCCTGCATATGATGGCAAAGGAAAAAAATCATATCCCTACTAGGGGTGGAACCTGCAAAGTTCAGCCCAAACCCAGTCACTTTTACCAACAGAGCCACCCCAACTCATGATGAAAATATGGAGATGTGGTTTAATGCACTACTGTTACAGCTATGAAGGAAAAAGTAAGCAATTTGGTACGTTACATAGCAAGAAATGTCACGACGTACACAATAAGATAATGAAATCCAGGTTACAATGGAGTGAGCATATGCTTATTATGAAAGAGACAAGTAATGCACACAAAATTTTGGTGGGGAAATCCATCGGAAGACTAACCAGGAGACGGAAAGATAAAACAAAGATGAAAACATAAGCATTAAAATGCAATAGCCTTCAAAGATATGCTCATACAAAGTTTCATGAAAATACATCAACCGACTTAACAGTAACAAGAGGTAATCAGACATCACATGGTCATAATATCAAAAGCCTTCATTTCTCCACAAAAAGAGGAAAGTAGGCAAAAGCCAGTCAAAGTAACAGTAACAAATAATCCTAAAACTCAGTGGGAAAGATAACATAAAACAAGTTAATAAAAGATTATTCAAGGTTAAATGATCCACTACACACCTTCCTCAGTCTTTTCTCTGTTAGTCCATACATCACCAACACCTAACCGCCCATGAACTTCCTCTGAAATAGATGCATCATCTTCATTGTTTACTTTGCATTCCAGTTCATTATCTTCCTCCACAGCACCATTCTGTTGAGGGTGAATGTCATTACAACTTTCATATCCAACAGTCCCTGAGTTAGAAATGTTCGAATCCCGACAATCAATAACTGACTGTACTGATTTTGGTCTATACACTGGTTTAATATTTTGCAAAGGGTAAACCATCCCTTTGGAAACCTTCAAAAAGTGATTAAGACAATTAAGTAACTGGTAAACACCACCGCCATCATATATTCCATAGTTCCGTAGAGTCTGCATGGAACAAAGTTCTTGTTCGATGGTTTGGACTGGCACTCCCTGAAAGAAATATATTGTACTGTCTTAAACAATTCTGTTTCGCTTTTAGAATAAGCTATAATGAAACACGTTTAACCTACAATCCTGATTGCAGTATTTATTTCATCCATTACAGGGTACTCTGAACATATATGTCCTAACATGTATAGGAGTATAATATGATGAAAATAAAATACCATTTTCTTTCAAAAAGTAACCAACATTGGACTCCAACTGTGTACTGCAGCATCACAGTGTGTATATTTCAATTACTTGATGTCTGTTCATTTGTCACTTTTTACACACTCTTGCTAAGTGTTTATCAAACTACATGTTTCAAACGCACACACCCATACGTTGCAGATAAAAACACCTCCACACCGAAGAATACCTAGTTGTGCCACAATAACAAGGTTCAAAGTGTTCTAGTAATCAAACATTTTATCATAAATGTAACAAAGTTATTCATGCATAAAAACAGAAAACTAGCGTAACAATCACTATATTTAGAAGGAAGATATATGCTTAATATTTTATATCAGTTGACTAACAAGAATGATAAAATTCTTAATTTTTAGAAACAAGAGTGCAATAACTACACAGACACATCAAAACTGAATACGGGTGCATGTCCAAAACATGTAGTTCAATGCACTTAGGAAGTGTGTAAAAAGTGATGAATGAACAAACACCAGGTAACTCATGATTCAGTATGACTGGCAAGATAAAGCTTTCAGGCAGACTATTTTCTGCATTAAGGTTTATATGGCTGCATCATGATAACACAGATGATACTGGCAGTTTTTAAAAACATGGCCATTTTCAGAATTCTAAACAGATTTATAGGTATATTATTTGGACATAATAAGCATTAGATATGAAACCCTCTACTGTGACAGGAGCTCAAATCCTACATTAGCATCCACATAAACAAATCTATTTTTGTCATTTTTTAAAATAATACAGAATATTGTTTTCCAATGGGAAAAAATCTTCCCATCATTCATAATCATGTATCTGAGAGATTTTGAATGCATAAAATAATCTATAAAAATGTTATAACTACTTCAATAAAAATCACTGCATTTTAAGAACCACTTAAACTGAATTTATAACTAAGAAAAGTATAAAATCAAGTAAATGAAAATCTATTAGGGTAATAACACATTGTGCCTAGTGATTGTAATAGTATTATACATCTCATACAGACAAGGTACAAAAAACTGTTCACACAATCTTGACTTTCCTTACAAAAACTAAATGCAATAACAACATGAACATTTCAATAATCTGTAGATCAATGCTCCTAGCACTGGGTATCAACGTTATGGGTTTCTAACTTATTTCGTTATAAAGTTATGCCACCTGAAGCAAAAAGCTGAAACTGCTTTGCTTGCAACTCAAGATGAATTCCTTCCTGTACTGACCATATGCTGGTGTTCCCAATGCTATCGCACAACCAAGGCAAAGGGAGCAGGCAATGGAACTATTATACATCCCAATCTAAATATATACACTGTGTCCGTAAAATAATGGTGGGGTTAACAATGTGGTGAGGTGACTCATTCAAGCTAGATACTAAGTTTGATCAAAACAAGATGAATAAAGTAAGTCCCAGTACAAGCAAAGTTTGCCGTTTGAGAATGAAAACTAGGAATAATGACATCTGAAACCCTCTGTCTACATCTTATTTTACTGGGTGACATGTATTTATTTTTACAGGGAATGTGCTTCTGATTAAAGAGTAAATTTCAGAAAACTTTTATAATATTACCTGTGGGTTTTCATGCAACATTTTGTAAATTCTTTGTTGCAAATTGTAAGGTATTAAAAGCTTCTGTCTCACATCATCACTATTGTTGTAATTTTTGATGTAATTC